TTAAATCTTACATTTATTTAAATACATTTTCTTGCAATACAATAGAAGCTGCTTCGTAGCATTAAAATATTTGTGTCGCATTATATCTATTTTGACCTATTTAAATTCAAAATTCTCATAATATCCGTTAAACTTCGATACCGCATGCAATATGTTAATTCAAATTGAATGAATAATCTATTTTATTTTGCATATTCTATTTTGATAAATACAAAAGTCAAGGTTTTTAAGCTTATTAATATTCAATATGATGTATAAATACTAATGAATGTGTATGTGTAAAGTGTATATATAAAGGCTAATAAACTATAAATATTAATAACCTCAGAAATAAATATTTTTATCGGCTCTCAATATAAAGAATATAAATATGATGTTTTTTAAATCGGCCAACAGAGCCAAAGCAAGAAAAATTAATTATTCGGAACTGTATCTCTTGGTTTGAGATCACAAAGTTCCATATATAAATTAATCTTGAAACTTACATATGAAGAAATAGGCGCGAAAAAGTGAAAGAAGCGGGTTCGATTCCCGCTTCAGCAACTTTTCGGGCCTATATTTTTCGCACCTATTTCTCCATATGTCGAGATTAATTTATATATGGAACTATGTGATCTCAAACCAAGAGATGCAGTTCCGAATAATTAATTTTTCTTGCTTTGGCTCTGTTGGCCGATTTAAAAAACATCATATTTATATTCTTTATATTGACAATTAGCGAAGCGGCCAATTATGAGCTGTGTCCTCGAGTCACCTCGAACACAATTTAAATTGCTCACAATAATTGGCGTTTCCCGAGAGGGTGGGTTTTCTTCGGGAAACCATAAAAGAGAGCTTGCACCCGAAATTCGCGCCTTATCGCATTCCGCCGTGAACCGCATAACGCAAGTCCGCTCTTAGTTAAACCGCAGGAAATTGTATTGACGACCACCGCTTATTCTTTGATTTTGATTCTCTCCGCTGAAACTGAGTTAATTTTTGTGTTAAATTTTATGCGTGTATTTTGTCAAACAGTGTACTATATTATTAATTAAAATTCTTTATACAGAGAGTGACTCATCTTTTTGTGTCGTAAGATCTCCCCTCACGCTGCGCGTTCTCGAACAAGCTTCAAAAAAGTCTTGACTTTTAATTTTTCGAAGTAAGATATACAATATAAAATAAATGATTTATTCAATTTAAACTAACACGTTGAAGATGGTATCAAAGTTTATCGGATACAATACCCAAATTTTGAATATTTAATCAAAATAGATACGATGACATAAAAATATTTTAATGCTGCAATGCGAAGTAGAATATACAATATAAAATTAATTATTCATTTAATTTAAATTAACATGTTGTACGTGATGTCAAAGTTTATAAAAGACAATACAAATTTTGAATATTTAAGTAAGATCAAAATAGATACAATGACACCAAAATATTTTCATAAACGCATTTCATTGTTGCAAGGAATTATATTTAAAATTTAAAACGTATTTTTTGATTAAATTATAATATGTAAGATTACTATATTTTTATAATGCACTAAGAAATTGTATACGTATATAAAATATATATCTTTTTATATTTAAATTTTACTGATCAAATTTTAAAAGAAGTGTAATGTCTGCTTGAAATTTAATGGCTAAATTTTTTCTTGATGTTTTTACTAAACATTTTTTGACCATGAATATAATACTTCCATCTCTAATACTTAAGAACAATAAGACTTTCATAAATCTAAAAATACTGTATACAACATTATAGAAACATTCAGCTATCGACAATACCCACAAAACAATTGATATGATGATATATACATTTATGTATGTTGCATGGGCATGGGATTTGCATGGGGTTGCTGGGATTGGATCCTTCCATGAACACATTATTAATAAATGAAATATTTTTTGGATTTTTTATTATTATTAAATTATTTTCGATATTGTGTATTGTAACATATAATAAAAAGAGCTATAAATATCTACTCTCTCTCTCTCTCTCTCTCTCTCTTTCTCTCTCCCTTCCCCCTTCCTCCCCCCCTCTCTCTCTTCTTCTCCTCTCCCACTCCCTCTCTCCCCCTTTCTCTTCCTCTCCCCTCTCTCCCTTCCTTCTTTTTTCGCTCACCCATCCTCTCTCCCTCCCTCTCTCACTATATTACCTTTCTTCCCACCTTATTTTATATCCAAAATAATTCTTTGCAAAAATTAATATATATTTTAATGAACTTTGCAAAAATATGTGAAATCCGTAAAAAAGACATCACAGATGTTAAAAAAAGTGTTAAGCGTAAAATGTTATATGTATAAATCATTTTATATAATGTAAATTTATACGTATCAATCACAAATATATTTCTTGTGACCATATTTGCTCAGTTGTGAGCTGACAAACCTTGAGAGATTTTTGATCCATGCAAAATGTCCGACACTGTTACCGTCTTGCGCGTACAGCAAATTGACGTGCTTGTCCCTTTTCTGCTCCGAAAGCCGTAGCGGGATAATGCCGTTTTCATTGCTGTAGACATTGATTGAGATGTTATTTCAAATTTTTATATTTGATTCAGAGTCACTGGAAACTCAATGTCTTTGCAATTCAGTACTGTTGTGTAATGGGGATAGGAGGATTCCCGATCCACATTTCTCTTAGCAGGGTGAAACACAAAGCTGTGACTACCGCCCACGCGAAACATGCATTGTCTTTGGTTTGTACGTTTACAATCGCTCTCTTCATCATTATCTCACGCGGTAATTTAATATAACATCTTGCAAGCATCGGATTCTACTTGTTGATATTTATAATCAAATTGATTATTCGCGATAATGCCCAACCACTATCACGTTCTTGAAATTCTTCAAGCGATGCTAGCGTGGGCTCGATGACGCGGTGCTCAAACCATTCGCGTATATCAGACGTGCGAAAAAGTTCATAGTTTCTCGTATTTATACTTTTATTGGCATGTTTATTACCCGACACAAACTCACCATTAAACACAGTGTTTACTTTAACACTAGTATACTTTTGCAACACTTTTTGCACGTTCTCGATCACAATGTCTTTAGCATTTTCAAGAAATTGACGAGGTTCGATGTGATTACAATTTATGACCGCACCAGTCAATATGCGGCTCTCAATTCCTCGCCATATGAGTCTGTTTTCTACTTCCGGCACCTGCGTGTATAAAACGTCTGCGTATAGTATTCTTCAAATTTTCCAGACGAGCAATTTGGGCGACAAGCGATTGCCGAACTCCGATCGCTAACCGTGGACGTTTAATTCGACTTTGTTCTTCCAATAATGCAATAAATTCATCACATTGCTGCTCCCACACAATGTATTCTTCCATCGAATTTACTCTTGTGGATTGCTCCAACAAACTTACTTCCATCTTGATGCTCTTGCGGAACCTTGATAAAATACTGACAGAGTATGTCTCTTTGCCATGATTTTTATATGATCATTGACACTTGAAATTTTTGATATATTGCATTTTTATGATGATTTCATCTGAGGATGTCACAGCAGCCGTATTGGCGTTTGTGATACATTTTTTGCAAATCGGATAATTTTGTCACGTACGGTTTTGATTCATTAGCGCTTGAAATTTTGGATATGTTGCACTTTGCACATTTTATTTAACCTTCACACTAATTCTAACATTTCATCTGAGAATGATGTCACAGCAGCCCTATTGGCGCTCGTGATACATTTTGCAAATCGGAAAATTTTGTCACGTACGGTTCTGATTCATTAGCGCTTGAAATTTTGAATATGTTGCATTTTGAACACCTGAGGATAATGTCACAGCAGCCGTATTGGCGCTCGTGATACATTTTTTTGCAAATCGGATAATTTTGTATGGGTTTACTCATCACTGGCGACTTCATTAATTTTATCGTTATTTTTGAATTACGATAATTTTTAACGAAATTATAAACAATTAAAATCAAAATACTCATTTTTTACTTGATTCGCGATAATGCAATAATAAAAAATTTTAGAAACATTAAAAAAATGATTTTACAGGGACAACTTTAAACTCTCACATTCCAAAGTTAAAAATTGTCGTAGATTTTTTGAGAAAGTGAGAAGTCCACAAGACAAAAATTTTTTATTTTTGTTATATCCCTAAGAGATATAACTATTAAGAAATAATTACTCGTATTACATCCGCTTGACGACGGACACTGACCGCGTAAAAACGCATACGATGCGAGATATACGCGGAACCGAAATTGCTCAACGCGCAAGCAAAGCAGAAAGACTTTGAATCTGCTTCGCTTGCACTTTGGTCCTTGACCGAGGGGGCCTGTTGCCAGGCACCCCTTCCGATCGAGAAAATCCCAAAAAGTGATACTATAAAAACGAAGCAGGAGACGCACCGCTCAGTCGAAAGTCGCTTTCAAGACGCTTTCGCGTCGTTCGTTAAAACGATCTCGCTAGCCGCGTGCGATCTTAACATCTTCTCGCAGTCGCGCGCGATACGCGAAGTTATAGTTAAACAGTGCCGTAAACCAATATACGCACAAGTGTAACAGTGGTGAAACAAATAAAAGTCAAGCGGTTTACTTGAATAAAAGTTTTAATAATAAAAGTGAAGTGCATTTATTTCATCAACCCGAAATAAGTCCTGACGCCCCGGATCCTTATCCTAATTTGGCGCGACCCCTTGTGTCTCACCCGAGGCACACAACATTTTATTTAATTCATGGTTTTCAAAAATTAATAAATTCACAGAAACTAAAAAAAGTAACATTTTATAAAGATTGCAAGCTTTGAAACTCTTTCTTTGGATTTAAATTTTGTTCATTTTTATCAAAGTTGTTTAAATTTTGCTTATTTTTAAAGAAAAATTAAGAGAACTTAATTTTTATAAACAGTATAAATTCACTACATCATGATTGGAATGTCATTAACATTATAATGATATTCAAATGCAAAATAACAATAGATTAATATTAATGTTCATGTACAAAGTACACTACGAAATATTTATAAAATCAACAAAGTGACTATAGAAATGACAAAATCGATCTAACTTTAATAAGTATCAGAAGTGAGCATAGTTATTGACGTTTGTAGTTATGATAAAAGAAATTTATAATTATTTATTTGTAGAGCTCTCTGGTAAGTGATTTTATCTTTTTAACAAAATAATGCGTGCATTTTTTAAGATGTAAAGAAATTTATTAATTATATGGTTATAAATTTGAACTGACAACACTGGCTTCAATTTAGAGTTGTTAATATATGTTTATTTTAACGTTTCGACCATACGGGTTGTGGTCCTTATCAAAAATACAATTGTGATATTCTAAAAAAAACCGATATTGTTACATCAGCCACGCTAATTTTAACAGTTCCTGTCTCAGTGAATGCCACAAATCTGAATCACTTTGCTTTATTGTATTACGTTCAATTTGTCTCCAATTTTTCCCATTTTCAAACAACTTTTCCAAATAATTTTGTAGAAGTTGTTCAAAAACCTCGGGTAGAAGATCAGGTTTTTGTGATTGCGGACCGTAATGACAATCTGTTCCTGACTTTCTTTTACATTTTTGTCGTTCATCAATTTTCCGAGATTCTCTAGTTCTTGCAACTTTAATTTGTCGTCGCTTTTCCAGAATCTCGACAGTAGGAGGAACATTTTTATCCATGCTTTTATGCATTTCCGTAAGACCTTGTTTCGAATTATATTGCAAAACTGCCTCCGCAACTCTAGCATTGTAAGAGCCTCGGTTACTAAAATTAATGCGCTTACCAGCAATTTCTTTGCAGATTATCGAATTGAACGACTCTACAGGATTGTTGGTGTATTTGTACAACAAACCGTCGGAATAAGCGCTTAAATATATGATAGCCTTCTCTACTCTTTGGTAAAGATCGTGTAATTTGAGAAACGGTACATAATTTTTCTTCGTTTCATCAAGGTCACATACGACCGCGTTTCTTACATCGTTTATGTTCACCAAATATATGACTAGGAATGTTTAATATATCTTTTTGTAATTCTCTAGCTTTATCATGGTGAGGTTGCTCTTGTTTATTTCGTAAATCAATTGCTTCTATCACTTCTGTTCGTATGTTCATAATGTTGTTCTTTACAACATTTCGTAGCTGGACAAAACCGCGCTTTCTATGCATTTTTGGCTGAGTTGTCCCTGCTACCGCCTGCAGCTTTTTGCATAGATTGCAAAGCAAATGATTGGTGCATTCTATTTTTTTCACGGTCACCATTTGTTCCCGATATGGTCTGCTATCAATGACGGCCTGATAGACGCTGCTATCGCCATCGGCAATAACTGTTCTAAAAATTAATCCATGCATTTCCAGGCTACTTTTAAAGCCTTCTGCAATGGCGTCGCTCTTCATACTTGTGGAGCTTGCGTTACGATCGAAATTTCTATAGCATTTATGGTTTTTTGGTTCGATTCCGTTTCGTTCCGCTACATCGTATATCGTGCAATATTTATTGCGGATACCGATAAAAAGAACTTTTTTCGTGTGGTAACCAATTAAAGTACCAACACCGGAAAGAGAATCGTAGGCGTGGCCGTACGATCTTTTACTCCAACTATCATCAGCTATTACAGTTATGTACGGAATACCGTTTATAACATCGTTCCTTTCGAGAGCCAGTTGCTTTTCAGTTTGGCCAGCCATTTTCATATTTTCCATGGCTGTTTTCTCAAACTCGTCTACTAACATATCTCGATTTTGATTATAACTTTTATCGGACATACATTGAATATTCATAGCTGCACACAGCTCTTCTAATTGGGCATGGCCAATTCCCACTGTAATAGTTTCTATTGCAGCAGCCATATCAATGCTTAATATTTTCGGATCTTTGGGTTCTGACCAGAATTCGGCTTCAGTATTGCACATTTGGCATTTGAAAGTAAAATGCGTCTTAAACTTTTCGGTTTTAGTTTTTATGAGTTTCCAATTTTTAAATTGGCACTCTATTCCTTTCATATGATTATTGAATACTCTCTGGAGTTCTTTCCATACATGAGAAAAGTCGACAATGCGACGGCCTTCAGGCAAGCGTTCCTGGATACGATTTATATCCAGAGGGCCATTCTCGATAACAAAATAATCATCTTCGCAAAGTTCGATATCTTTATTACAAATATCTGTTTCAGAAATTGACTCCAGGCATTGCACTTTTTGAGTACTAACTTTAGAATCTATTGTATCGAAATTCAATTCCACCGATTTTTGAAAATCGATGGATTCATTGCTAGTATTCTTATATGTGCTATTCCTAGAGTCATTTTTCTCTTGGCCTTCGGTTTTAGTTTTTAAGACTTTCCAATTAATTTAAATTGGCACTCTATTTCTTTCATATGATTATTGAATGAACTCTGAAGTTCATTCCACATATGAGAAGAGTCGACAATGCGACGCCCTTGAGGCATGCTTTCCTGGATATTATTTATATCCAGAGGGCTATTTTCGATAACAAAATGATTGTTATCTTCGCAAAGTTCGACATTTTTACTACCCGTACCTGTATTTGAATTTGACTCCAGGCATTGCATCGCGGGTACTAACGATTGGATACTAACTTTTCAATCCATTGTATCAGATAGCAATTCTGCCGATTTCTGATTATCGATGGATTCATTGTTAATATCCTTAAATGTGCTATACCTGGAGTCATTTTCCTCTTGTCTCTCTTTCTTCAGCATCCGTCGCCTGCAAAAAAAATAATGTTAAAATATTGTTAAAAAAATTAAATGTATCAGTTATTATATAATTATCAAAAGATTTTTGTGAAAAATAAATGCAGTCTCTTGTTTATAAATCTATATCTTATTCAAACTATATTATATTATACAATAAAGTTTCAATATAAATGTTTTATTTTTATACTAAGCAGAGGATACATAAACCGTATCTGATGTAAAGAAGCAGTTTACGAATAAATAAGTCTGGCATAAAATATCTTCCAGAACGCACATGCAAATCGTTCTGGGAGAAGATATTTTAAAAGCAACTAACAGACGAATAAATCGTCTCTGATATAAAATATCTTTTTTTAATAACCAGAACGCACATGCAATTTGTTCTGGGAGAAGATATTTTTAAAGCAACTAACAGACGAATAAATCGTCTCTGATATAAAATATCTTTTTTTAATAACCAGAACGCGCACATGCAAATCGTTCTGGGAGAAGATATTTTTCTTTTTTTTGTTACTACTGCAACTTTATAACTATTAGTATTACTATTGTACTATTGTAACTACTACTTATTATTACTATAATATTTCTACTACTAACAACTATTTAAAATAAGCAAGAGACTGCTTTATATTTCAGAAATTGTTACTTTAGAAAATATGTATATAATGTAAAAAAAATTTATAACAATTGAACTCCATAAATATTGAATAAGAATATAATCTATATATATATAAATATATACACACACACACACACACACACATATATATATATATATATATATTTATATATATACAGAGTATCCCAAAAAGATCGGAACACTGAAAAATCTCGAAAAATATACGTTTTACAAAAAAAAGTTTTAGACAAAAGTTATAAAAAATCTATTTATTGATCTGATCAGTTTGACCTTGGACAGTGTTACCAAGGTCAGAATAAGGTTACCTTAAATTTCTTAGATGTAATCCTATATTTTTTATTACATATTCTTGTAGCTTATCTCGAGGGCTTTCCAAAACACTATAATAAAATGATTTTTCATAAAGTGCTCTTTGAGTTATAAAGGTTAGAAGCTAACAATTTTTTGACATAAACTATATCTTTATAAAATATTCCATTTTCGATAATCATACGTACTTTTTTGCACAGTATAATAAGAAATCAATTTATTAAAGAAAACAGATAATTGAATATGTAATATTCAATATGCAGCAGCATACTTTTTTTATAAGCAACTGTGTTTTTTTACACCAATTCATTGGTCTCATTATTCCGTGCAAAAAAGATATGATTACCGAAAATGGAATATTTTACAAAGATATTTTATATTTTATGTCAAAAAATTGTTAGCCTTTATAAATCAAAGGGTACTCCATAAAAAATATTTTTATTAGTGTTTTGGAAAGCTCTCCAGATAAGCTACAAGAATATGTAATAAAAATTATAGGATTTCATCTAAAAAATTCAAGGTGACCTTATTCTGACCTTGGTAACGCCGTCCAAGGTCAAACTGATAAGATCAATAAATAGATTTTTTATAACTTTTGTCTGAATCTTTTTTCTGTAAAACGTATACTTTTCGAGATTTTTCAGTGTTCCGATCCTTTTTGGGACACTCTGTATATATATATATATATATATATATATATATATATATATTATAATATATACACATACCTATTGATTTATTTAGCAATCTGTCTATCTATCGAACTATCTATCATCTATCGATCAACCTATCTATCTATCTATCTATCTATTGATTTATCTGTCTCTTCTCTCTTTTCTACATTGCATTCTTTTATATATGTACACGTATATAATAATTTTTTAAAATATTGTACATTACAAAAGTAAAAATAATTAAATTTATAATCTAATAATATATAAAAATCTTTTATGAATATAATAATTACAAAGTTTTAGTAGATAATTTTTTGTAATAAATAAATGATTTATTCTTATCTAAATACTGCTCTGTTTTGATAATAATAGCATTATTATGTATTCAATCTCTAAAATACTTTTATATAAATCATTACAAAGAATTATTTACTTTATAATCAATTATAATTATTATAGATAGGCCTGTTTATATACATACACATATATATTGTGTGTAAGTGTGTGTATGTGTATAAACAGGCCTATCTATAATAATTATAATTGATTATAAAGTAAATAATTCTTTGTAATAAATGATTTATATAAAAGTATTTTAGAGATTGAATACATAATAATGCTATTATTATCAAAACAGAGCAGTAGTTAGATAAGAATATATCATATAAATCATTTATTTATTACAAAAAATTATCTACTAAAACTTTGTAATCATTATATTCATAAAAGATTTTTATATATTATTAGATTATAAATTTAATTACTTTTACTTTTGTAATGTACAATATTTTTGAAAAATTATTATATACG